CAGGTAGGCACCATATGTTGCCTTAATCAGACATTGGAATCACATTTGGTTGTTAAATTTTCTTCTAATAAAAGCAGGTAGTAAAACAACTTGAGCTAATTCAATTCCAGGCCAGTTTGGGTGAAGGGAACAGCTGTTCATGTTTGTTGAATTGTTTGAACGTTCCCTCTCTCTTGTTTCCTCTCTTCTTCTTCTTCTTTTTTTTTTAAGGGGTCTCACTCCAACAGCCTGTTTGTTCGTCAACTTTTCTTGTAGAAAATAGAGACGGAGGGTGGACGAGCTGTCCACTCTGCTTAAAAGAAGACAATACCAGGCATATTGTAGTGACAGCTTGCATTGTGTGTGCGTTTGTGTGTGTGTATGGAAGAGGCAAGAGAGAGAGCAGGAGTGTGTTTATGATAGAAAAACAGGAAAAAATAGGGAGTGTGTGAGTGTGTGTGAGTGTGCATGTGTGTTACAGTGACAGCTTGTATTCTCCGTGATTAATGATGTGCTGTGTGACTTGATAAGTGCTTCGGAGGACCAACGCTTGTTTCAATTAGACCTTGTGAAGGTCGCGACGCCGCGCCGGCCTCTCATTATCATATCCATAATCAATCCACATTATCATAGGAGAATGTGAAATGGATGTGTGATATCTTGGTCATACACACACACACACACACACACACACACACACAGACTCCTAATCACATACCAAAACACAATGACGTACTCCCTCACTCACAAGAGCACACACACACACATGCACCCTTCACTCCAAGTTGATTTGAATCATAACAGTGGCTGTCGGAAAGGATTGTCTGTTCAGATTAAGAGTGTGTTTCAGAGGAATTAAGCATCGCTGATGGTGGTGGCATTTCAGAACCCCTCCGCAGACACAAATGCCAAAACATCATCCTGTCACCCCCTCTTCATCTGCCACACAGCCACATATACCAACAGATACACTAAACACACACACACACACACACACACACACACACACTTAACCAGGACCCCAGGGCATTTTTAATAGAGGCGAAGTGATTCGTATGTTTTTACTCCTCTAATGAGAACAGATTGAGTGGTATTTACACTTCATCGGCTGATCCAACCACCTACACATTTGCCTCATGCTTCTGCTGCTCACTGGCCAAAACAGACATGTGGAAAGGAGCAGAGCTTGGCTTTCTAACAGCGACACAACATGAACACTTCTTCGTCTCCTTGGCTTGAAATGGCATTATAGTGAGAAAAATATAAACTGTTATAAGAGGAATTCTGCAGCCACATTTAGTGTCTACTAGGATGAAGTGTATTTGTTTTAAAACAGGGGGGGGGGAACGTCTAAAACAGAAATCATAGTACATTTCTTCTCAAAACAAACGCATTTCAAAACCATGAATGAAGAATAAAAGCAAGAAAAAAAGGAAGAAGTTGGAGGAGAAAAGGTTCACACAGTACTGCAGCAATTACAGGAATCAAAGTTGGCATAAAATATTAATTAACTTAGTGAGTAGAGTTATATTCATAGAAGAGAGAATCATCCCAGGTGGTCAAGATAGATTGGTTTGCAAAGTGTGAGGATGAAAAACTTGAAGTACTTAAAAGAACAGGCCCATGCCAGCGAAATAGCATTGCACTCTACATGATCAGTTTTACAAATACCTGTTAAATTAAAAATAAATGAGCTGAAGATATTATCTTTTTCAATTCTAGGCAATCTTCTTTCTTGCCAAAAACCTGACAGTGATTTTTCCCACAATGCAACTGATTCCTTTATAATTTTGTCCATGTTTTGGATGTTAAGGCAAGGTCACAATTGGGCGGGTGCAGGACTGTCTGTTGAGGTGAAATTCACATGTTGCCAAAAATTAACCATGGAAATCAATTTGCTGGTTTGTTGTCTGGTAGTTGGGTCTTTGAATTTGTAGCCTAATTTCTACAACTTTGCACTTCCAACTTTGTCAAATTTCAATACTGCACAAATACGCAAAATTGGGGGGAAAGATTGATTCACCCCTTCGCTTGCTCAGAATGAAAGCAAACTTGTGTGACTGTGCTCCTTGTGCTAGTCGCTGCTAGCGTAGCCTGACTTTGCTAACCTTAAGCAGAAATGAATGGCTTGCTTCAGAGGTCCTGATTATTTTCAACCCTGTAAGTATTTCTCCAACCAGTCCCTCCGCTCACACTCTGACATGGGGTGCCTTTTTATTTGACATCACACCCCAAACTGAGTGAAGTATCATCTTGTTCAGGTGTAGATATGAGTCAGTGTAGCAGAGAGCTTTGGGATGGACTCCTCTTCAGGTTTGAGAAAGGTGCCCATATATAACTCAACACCACTATTTTTTTTCACCTGCTGTTTTCAGACCAAACAAGCACTGACTCCAGTAATGTCACTTAAGGCACTTAATAGGGTTACGCACAGCTCCCTCTAGAGTTGTGAAAGGCTGTTTTCTTTTCATATTTGCAGTAGCCTATATTTGCACAGGTGTATGCTACAAAAGGGGCATGCATGGACAGGTACCTCTAGATATTTAGAATATGAGGGAACCCACCTCCCCCCTAAAAAAACCCAACAACAACAACATTTTAGGACTTCTAATCTGATAGGAAAATTCGACCAGATTGCATGCATGTTGAATCAGACCCTTTGTGCACCTGAGTTATCCTCAAGACCTGCAAACAGACTTTGATGTATAAAATCAGAGAAGTTCCCCCTTTGAACCATTAACGTGTGACTTTATTTCTGTCTTTTGTGCTGTATGGTACACTGTGTTTTTATACTTCAGTAACTAGAGGGATTTTGCATTAAGTATCGGGTCATTGTTTCATTTCATGGGAGTTTAAGCACAATAGCTGCTGTAGGAATTAAACCTGTGACCTTCCTGTTGTGAGACAAAGTCACTTCCCAACAGGGCATCCTGCAACCCGTTGCTAACAGGGTTCTCTTAACACTGTGGCTGCTTACCAGACCATGCATGGATGAAAAATTAAATAAAACCTTGCATCTAAGGTCATGACAGAATTTCTAAACCTGGCGCATTCTTCATTTGAGTTGTGCATGGCGCCTTCTGTAAGCTGAGTTCATGGTATGTCAGTAAATATGAAAAAGACGGCGCAAAAAGCTTAAGAAGTTGCAAAGCAGCGGCCTGGAAGGTTAAAATTGAACGTTTCACCACTTATTAAACACATAAAGGTGGAAAATGACTATATAAATCAGTTCTGTTTAACACTGATGGCTTTATCGGTGTATTTTTCTACAGATGGAGAAAGAGAGTCGTGACATTTCTTTTTGGCAGGGAAAAGGCCATACTCAGCAGGAGTTATCAAAGGCAAAAAGTAAAAAGTTCGAGTTAGCTATCTCTCTCTCTCTCTCCCCTCTCTCTCTCCCCCTGGAGATACTCATGTTAAGCATAATTAAGCAGATTTGATTAGCATCAAGCCTGGCTTCCTCTCTTGACTTTTAATGAATGTAAATCTACCATCTACATCCTAAAGATTAATTTCTGCCAATTAAAAAACACAAGAGGGCTTATTGGAGAGAGGGGGGGCTGCGACGAAAAGAGTGTTAAAGTCCTTTGAGTTGGAGTACAGTCGTAGTTTTATCCTCTTCCCCCTTGTCTTATGGTGAGATGGTCTCTGGAGATCTGTGTCTCTCTCTCTCCCTCACGACCAAGATCATTATCAGCACAATGTTCCGTGAAAGCCACTTTGAAAGGACTGCGAGCTCCATATGTAAATGATGGGAGGATGTGTGTGTGCGTGTGTGAATGTGTGTGTGTGTGTGTGTGTGTGTGTGTGTGGACTGGATGAGGAAGCAGTACAGGGAACAGGTAAAAGGGTCGATTTGTCAAACCAAGGTTATTGGCCCCCCTTTACAGTTGAGCCTTTGTTCACTCCCTAATCTTCCTGGTTTAGGATCCTTTGCATTCAAAATCAGATTGAGATTTTTGTCAATTTAAGATGGTATAGAGTAAGAATGACATCAAAATCATTTTGTATATTGTAATCCAATTGGATTAAAGTGCAGTAAAACAGAGAAGAGGGAACTTTTGGGGAGGTTAATCCAGCTGTGACAAAATTAGATCAAAAAGTAGAAGCACCAGAAATTTGGCAGGTACTTTTGCCTTATTTCACAGACCCCCTTTTTCCAATCTTTAAGCCTTTGATTCAATTTATCTATTTTTTTTAACCCTTTTTTTAAATTTAAAAAGGCCTTCCTAAATTGTATATAAAATTATTTTTACAAAACACATTGCCAATATTTTTAAGGGATTTTTCTGCTGATTTTGATACGCAGACTTTGTTAAAGATGCTTCTCCAGTATGCGTTTTTTTTTTTTTTTTAATTCTCCCAAACTCAAATTTAACAAACTCTAAATATTAGCTTAAGTGATATTTCTAAGCCACCACATTTGGCCTGGTTGCTGGAGAGATGTCAGGCCACTTCCTGTAGTACTGCCGAGGTGCGCTTGAGCAAGGCACTGAACCCCCAACAGCTCTGGGGCTCTCCCTGTGTAGCAGCCCCACTGTGACATCTCTCCATCAATGCATGGTCCATGGTTTGTGCATGTGTGATATTTTGGGCAAAATGTGTGAAAGAAGCACGTCTCTTGATAACCAGAATTTCCCTCAGGGATCAATAAAGTATGTAAAATTAAAAAAAAACAAGTTTAAAGAATGTTCACAAGACAAATAACTCCTGCAATCTCATCACAACATTTTTCTGAAGGATAATACAATTATAAAAGTATTAGTCCCAAATGATGTTGTGGGCAGATTACAGACAAATTGAGTGCCACAGACTCACTAAGCCCCATCAGCAGCATTAATATGAAAGTGTCTTTTCTTTAGGCGTTCATAAATAGGCTTATCCAAAGTTTATGTAGGCTAATCTTTGCTCTCTCCCCCCTGCTCTCTCTCTCTCTCCCCGTCTATGAGAACATGTCTCTCACTCTCGAAGAATAAGCCCAGGCTCCTCCTCTTTATGATAATGTGACAGTAGCATCTCCAGCTCGGAGACAAGCCTCCTCTCATTCTGACTCAACTATGTGATCTGTTTGTCTACACACAGACCCTGTCTTCTGTCCTCTCCTCTTTCATCCCCCTCTCCTCCTCTGCACACTTAATGCGCAGTTCCTTCTCTCAAGTCCAACCAGCCTACATTTGTTTGGTGAAGTCACTTTCTGAAACAGTTGACTTTGAAGTGAACTTTTTCTTGGTCTAATTCCGGGACATGACTACCATGGCAACTCCGGCTGCTCCGACTCTGCTCCCCGCGGCTCCGCTCGGTCACCATCCGGCTCCGAGCTCCGTCTCTCCGGCCACCAACTCTCCGCCACCTGCCGCCACCTCCGCCGCTTCCTCCCCGGCTCCTCCGCTGACTCACCAGGCGCTGCTTAACCAGTTCCGGGCGGACCTCTTACTCTCGAACGGGACCCAATTAAAGCCCGGAGGAGCTCCGCTGTCCAGCACCGCTAAGCCCGTGTACGCCACGCCGTCGCCCGTGGAGAGCACGCCGCAGAACAACGAGTGTAAACTGGTGGAGGTGAAAGGTGCCAAGCTGGCCTCATTTACGGTGAAAGACACGGAGCTCATCTGCCTGCCACAGGCTTTCGACGTGTTCCTCAAGCATCTGGTCGGCGGACTCCACACCGTCTACACCAAGCTGAAGCGGCTGGACATTGCCCCAGTGGTGTGCAACGTGGAGCAGGTCCGGGTGCTGCGGGGGCTCGGGGCCATCCAGCCCGGTGTGAACCGGTGCAAACTCATCTCCAGGCAGGACTTCGAGACGCTCTACAGCGACTGCACAAACGCAAGGTGAGTCAGGTGTGGGTGTTAGGGAAGCCGGCTCGAGGTTTACATTGTGACCTGGTAAATATCGCGACAAAATAGGGTAACCCTGCCTAGTTTGAGGGGTCGGGTGCAGCAGGTGGGGTCAGAGTAGACACGTCCAACTTTACAGTCGACTTTCTGCCTTATTACACTCTGAAGGCCAGTGCAAAACTTCCAGGATACTAAATGTAATTTTCCAGAATATAATCATTCAAATATAAAGTTTGCACTAGCTCATGTGCGCTTATAAACTCCTCCAAATTAAAAGTCATTACAGCCAGTAGCCTACTTAACAAATTGGTGAAAAGATTATTCCTAAATCAATTAAACTTTAAACATGATTGTGTTTTGGCTGTCTACCATATACAGATGGCTAACTGGACATCCAGTGAACCCCCTTTTTATTTACCACATTAATGCGTCAAGCCCTGTCTGTCACTAATTAGCATTTTTAACTGATGATTATAAACATGATGGTGATGATGGCCATAATGAATTTGAGTAATCTCAATGAAAACAAAACTCTCTTAAAAGTTTGTCATGTTATCATAGGCTATAATCTCCCCCCCCCCTCTCTCTCTCTCTGACATGCACTGTGGAGGGACACACACACACATACACACATTGAATCTGACACTGTCATTCTGAGAAATTGATTCTTCACAGAAATTAATTAATTTTCATTTGGCCCCAAGCGGCAGCTTAAATCAGGACAAGCTCACTCACTCACTCACTGATCCTTTTGCTCACTCTCTCTCTCTCTCTCTCTCTCTGCCTCTCTCTTCTTCCTTAATAACTCGCTGTCTTATCATATCAACACTCTTTAGCCCTAAGCATCAGAACAGAGGAGATGATTAAATGAATTCTCGGCATTTATGATGCGATTATGTAAATGAGCTGTTTTGCAGAACTCCGGTGGTGACCAACTACATGGGTCATCAGTCCAGTGCACCGCAGAGATGTTTGGATGAAGGGGCTAAATTGGCAGGGATTCGTGGTTTACTGGTGCCTCAGTCTGCTGGTGTGCACACCACATGCTCGCAACAGCATGGGTTTGAATCCAGAGGAGTTAGGATTAGCATTAGTTTAGGGATTTTTAAAAATTGTTTGATGGTTAATCCCTGCTCCTTGGATAATGATCCAATTTACACCTGTCATTTAAAACAGATAGATGATGCTCCAAGATGTGTACAGATTGTTATGTCTAAATTCCTTTTAAAGTTTCCTGGCTCTATTTCTGTCCTTCAACTCATTTTGATTTTAAAACCAGGTGTTAGCTTTTGATACAAGTTACAACTTGCTGAGCAAAACCCCAAAACATTCTGAAAAAAAACACACTATTGTGAGCTTCCAGCTCCATCTGCGTGGATTAACACCTGTGCTTCTGCATTTGAGGCCCTCCAGCAAAGACCACATCCAGATGCATCTTCTGGCAGCTTTGGGATTTCTTCTGTGTCAAGTGTTAATGGGAACGTTGTTCTCCAAATACACAGCTTCCACCGTCTCTAATTATCAACATAACACTCAAACAGCCTTTAGTTAATGAGATCTGAAAACATCACTCGTCTGAAATCTTCAAACGACTTCCGTGATTCTTTGTCTGAAGGCTTCAAATGTGCTGTGGTTGCCATAAGTATTCCCCCCCCCCCCGCCCTCTTCCTCACATTAGAAGTTCCTAAGTAATCCCTTGTGTGGATGAGCAACAAACAGTAGCAGGTAAAGACGCAGAGCTCAACATGGTTCTTGTTAAATCAGGAAGGCTGTGCTGGGCAGACTAAAAGTTCTCAAGAACATCTCCAAGAATATGATGTTACGCCTCTGTGACAGCGTCGGGCCTCAGTGAGGGGGTTTTGTTACTGATTAAGACAGCCATCACTTATTATTTTCCAGTCCAGCAAAGTCTGACAGGCTGGGGGAGAAATAACAGGCTGGTCTGATAGCCTAACATGTTCGACATAATGCATTACATGGACTCCTTGGGCTGTTTGCTCATTCATGTGTTTCTTTTAAAGAATAAAGCAGAGGTTAAGAAGATGTCCTCTGTTTATTATTGCCTTTCCTTCGCTTATTTGTCTCACTCTTTAACACCTGTTGTGCGCACACACACACACACACAAACACACACTTTAACCACTGACTCATCAAGCCATGAAGAAGGGCCTACTTCACCCTCCGTCAAAGCCCAGGTATAATTCATGCATAGGTGGCACACAATCGCAGACTCCCTGTGTCACCTCCCAACACACAGACACACTCACACACATAAACTCCCATGGTCACGCCCGTGTGTTTGCAGGCTTTGCTGCTAAATGACATTAGTTCCACAGAGAGAACATGGCGTGTAGGAGGCAACCTGATCCTCCTTCCTTTTCTTTCTCCCCTCACAAAGAAACAGTTTCATCCTCCATGAGGAACACACATCAAACAGCTCGCTCAGGTCAAACTGTGTGTGTGTGTGTGTGTGTGTGTGTGTGTGAGAAAAGTGCACACATTGTCGATACATTCACTGCGTAGTACACAAATGCCACCCCAACCACTTGTCACTTAAAAAAAAAAGTTGGGAGATTCTTGTGTTACCTTTTTAAGAAAGCATGAGTTCATATCAAAACACATGGTTTCTGCATTTGCGCCAGTGAGCGTCTTTTGTACATAAAGGCCTGAAAGTAGCATGAGATACTGTGGTTCATAAGCAGCGCTGCTTTTAAAGTGACCAAACACAATGAAAATATTATAAATTGCCACTAGAACTGCTTAAATTGGTGGCTTAATAAAACTTGATCTATTGCCATATACTGTATATCTGCAACCGGTTACTTGTTACACTGTTGTTACACTAGTTTCCATCTTTGTGATTTTGTTTGTTCATTTGATAATAGAAGCAAAGTGAATTTGTGACTTGGGCTCAGGTATGATACCATACATTATGTTATTATATCTTATGATACAATACGATGTGATACCCCTTTATTTATTTTGTCTTGGACTTATGTGATGCAGAAATGTAGCTGCCTCCTCAGTATTACCAATAAATGTCAAAAATAAGCAAAAACAATTTTCCACATTTAAACATGGGAGCATACCAATAAAAACCAACAACATAA